CACACTACCTTGTATCGCTTGCCACGTTTCGACATAATAATGGGATCGGTTGCCACGTTCTAGCATAAACATTAGATCGGGTACCACGTTTCGGTATGCTAACAGTTTGAGTTTGTGTTCCATGAGAGGACCAATGATTTGATATAACTGTGATATTTGAGAATCGTGAAACTGTTTGTTGTTCATATATAATGATGATATTGTATATGTTCGATGTATGCATGTTATTGTATTGTTGTTTTGACTTATGTATGTTGCACTTAGTGGGATAGTCGCGTGATCCTACCAGTACACTGTGGTTGTATACTGATACTGCACTTGCTCTTTCTTTGTTGAGTACCGGGAATCTTCAGGTGGCTATTGACAGACCTCGCTTAGAAGATCAGTGATCGTCGTTCGAATTCAAGGGTGAGCCAGTTCTTCCGGGCTTCCATGAGTTCTCTTTCCGTCTGTCCACATTTCGGACTTAGACATTTCCGCCATGAGTTCTAGGTGTTGTTTTTGCATTTGTTTTAGTTGTTAGACTTTTGTTTAGAGTTTATGGGAACTCCCTATTTCTTCCGTAGTATTTAACTTGCTTCCGTAACATAAATGCTTAGTTTGTGGTTTAGTTGCTTGGTTTGGATTGTAGTAATGGTTCTCCAACCTGAGGGTTAGTGTGGGTGTCAATCACGACGGTCTGGGTCGTGATATTTTCCAACGCTTTTCCTTTCCTCAATGCCTCCAAACGTTTCCAATCTATTAGGTATATATGCATAATTTGTAAGTTAATGAGTCTTTCGACATCATATTACTCGATGTCTAGCCTAGACCCAAAAACTCACCTAATTTTATAATCAATTTCCTAAAGTTCAAACCTAAGGGTAAGTCTTAATTCCTCCAATTAGAACAACTTTAATAGTAATATATAATATAATACACCTAATATTTCATTACTTATCTCAATATATCAAACCTTGGCTTATTATATCATAACAAAATTATAACATTGAAAATTAGGCCACTGGTTTCACTAATATTTCATTACTTATCTCAATATATCAAACCTTGGCTTATTATATCATAACAAAATTATAATATTAAAAATTAGGCCACTGGTTACGAAACCAGTGGCAGGCTAGCAACATCATGAACCCAATTTAACAATTGCAAACAAAACTCTAGTTGCTGGTCAGTAATGATTGTCTCAACTTTCCAATCACCATTCACCTTTAAATTCCTCAACCAATCAGTACCTTCCTAACACTAACTCTACTCAATCATATATACCTGATTTCACGTATTAGGACACTTCATCCAATACTAAGCGCCAACGATCGTTAGTCAGTAATATGACCTAACTAAGTGAGTTGGGGTCGAATCCCACAAGGAGTGGTACGTACTCAAGAATCAATAGAAAAGCATGAATATGCTCTAGTCAATCATAGGTAAAAACATTTACGAATAAAAGCATGGCTAAAGTTAGGGGTAGCACAAGTGTCAAATAACAAGGGGTGCTTGGTTTCAACTATCAGCTACAACAACAAAGAACACGAAATTGACAAATATAGAGACGAGTTCTTGGGATGTGATTGGATTATGGGCTAAGGTAGACAAATGGGTGATTGCAATTAATAGTAAATAGTTCTAAATCAGTGAATAAGTTAGACTTTAGTGGGGATAAACTTTCTCTCTAATAATTTACCCCGAATCAAATTGGTTTCTCTCGAACACCAATAAGCAGCAATTAAGCACAATCTACGCTTTAGTCCATTCACTCTCTCGAGCTGAATGTGTGGAAAAGGGTTTAGGATTCACTCTCTCGAGCTGAACCCATGACAACCCAATACCCATAGACCATCAAATCAGTAATCTTGGTTTTAAAACCTCTCTCTCGAGCAAGCCAAAAACACGAAGGTAGAGTTGCATTTGCAACTACAACCCTTTAGATTAAGCCACAATTACTAAATGAAATCACTTTAAAACAACATTTAAACTAACAATTAAAATTACCCAATAGCTAAATCAACCCATAATCACACCCCAAATATTAGAGTTTTAGCTAGACATCATAAAAGGCAGAAATCGTTACGAAATTGTGTTTCCATCAAATGGGTAAGATTAATATTGTCTTTACAGAGGTCTAAGATGAAGAATCTTCAACACCCAGTTCCAATTTGTCAGAAATGGAAATCTTCCCATCTTCAAAGTTAAGGATATATTGTCTCTCTATTCTAAGTTCTCAACTCTAAACTTGAGAACTCAAAAATAATGAAAATTTGACAAAAAACGCCTAAATATTGATTTTAATTGATACTAAATATTGATTTTAATTGATACTAAATAATGAAAATTTGACAAAAAACGCCTAAATATTGATTTTAAACATGTTTTTATAGTCACCGAAAAATGTGTTACGAAGGTCCATTCGGCGCAATAAGTTGGGATCGTCGATCCACTCGGCGATCAGCCCTTTGGTCAATTCCATCGCCTTTCTGCTTTGGCCTTCAACACCTTTAAGTTCTGTAACTTTAGGCGATGTAGCACTGTATCACGAAACCGTTTGGTGACTCGCCAATTTTTTTTTCTCCTTTAGGGCTTGGCACACTGGAACATTAGGCGAGACCATGACCATTCGGCAACTTGCCTAATGGTTTAGGCGATTCTCAGGCCTTCTTTTCTTCGTTCTTTCAGTTGCCTTGTTCCTTTTTGCTCATTAGTGTCCATACTTTGTTCCTCAATCCAAATACCTTAAATTCAATGATTTACATCAGTTATTGGCACAAAATATGCATTTGAGGACACTCAATCTAATAAAATAAACCCCAAATGAGTCCATATTGTGGACTCATCAATACCAATTAAAAATTACCCCAACAACCAATTATGTTCTTTCTTTTTCACCAAACGATTCAACATTAATAATAATAATAATAATAACTGCATTATCTATCCATATCTACAATATGAAGAGTTAGATATGGTTACCTGGTGTAGTTCGAATGGTTATCGCCAAAGTCCTCTTCGAGAGGATACTGCTTTTCTTTTAAATATAATAATTAGGGCAATTAATTATGAACCACTAGATAATTAAATAACTACTAAATGTTACTAATTTCTTTCTACACATGGGCCATGTGGTATGAGAAATACTAAATTATGGACTTAGCCCATTAACCACCAACCAATAAGAATTAATCATTTAAGATATATTCACTAACTAAATAATCATAGTTAAATAACTCATTCAAAATTACCATTTAAATTTATGGGAAGAGTCGAAAATGTTCTAATACTCAAAACAACTTAATGGGTCGTTAGAGTTCTTCAGTGCACCAGTACATAGAAATAAAAATGGAATAGGTAATTGTAAGCTCTAAATGTAAAATTCATCATTTTACTGGTATATAAAATATCTATGACAACATTAAACAATTAAATCATGATGAAATGTATATGATTAGAAATAACTCTTAGCTTAGATAGAAAATGTTATTGCAATGAGACTATACTGAACCAATTTGTCAACAATCACATATCCTTAATCATTTTATGACTAGATGTAATGACCTGATCTAGTCATTATGAGTAGGCAAATAGTTAAAAAAATTGGGCCAGAAAACTTTTTGGATAGTGATTTAATTTTTTTTTACTAGGCCAGCCTCAAACATAATTTGTGCTAGGTGAGGTCTAGGACCATCTGAGAATTGGTGAGGTGTAACGTTGAGTCTTGGTTAATATATTCCTATAGTCAAGACATTAACGAGTCAATAGAACCTTACAAAATTGAATTCGGGTAACTAGAACTTCCGAAATTGATCTTGGCATGGAAACGATATGTCGGGATGTCAAGGAAACCGGTTGATTGTGAAAAAAGTGACTTTTCTTGGATTTATGAGTTTCTAAATTTTAACCTCTCCTACTATAGGGGGAGGCACCCTGCACTACAACATTTTAGGCCTATGGCCACCCCAGTAAAGTGTGGCCTTTGATAAAAGGCTATACTTTTGGACTTTAAGCAACACTTTTTCAGGGGTGGCTGAAAGAGGCGTAACCTTAGAGTTTAGGCAACACTTTTCTTGTGTTGCCTTATCATCTACGCTTCAAAGCGTAGCCTAAAAGGCAAAATGGACACGCTTTTATGTATCTCATATAGCAACATTTCTATCTCATACAACTACACTTTCAAGTGTGGCATTTGCTTCCTTATTGCCCACGATTTTAAAGTGTTGCCTTTTCTATCTAATGTATGAAAATGATTTTAAAGTGTTGCCTTTTCTATCTAATGTATGAAAATGATTTTAAAGTGTTGCCTTTTCTATCTAATGTATGAAAATGATTTTAAAGTGTTGCCTTTTCTATCTAATGTATGAAAATGATTTTAAAGTGTTGCCTTTTCTATCTAATGTATGAAAATGATTTTAAAGTGTTGCCTTTTCTATCTAATGTATGACAACACTTTGAAGTGTAGTCCTTGCCCATGTGCATACCACAATTTACAGCCCTATGGCTACACTTTTAAGTGTGGTAATACTATTTTGGATATAAAATATTTATATTCCACAATTTCTAATTAAAAATTACCAATATTGTTTTGCAATAATAATCTCAAGCATTAAATTGGCTAATAAGTAATTCAAATATATAGATTTGCAATAAACTTCAAAAGATAGTATGTCTTGTGTACATACACATACTTATAAAGCAATATTCTAAATATGCGTAAACAATAGTTCAAAAAGTACTCTTACAATAGTTCAATATATTCTAGCAATGAATATATTTCACAAAATCAAACATAATGTATTCAAACTTTTACAATAGTTCAAAAACTCTTCATCATCCACTTCAATGAGATCAAATTGACTTGTGGTGACCCTTCAATTTTGATCACCTCCATTTCCCTACACATTTAAAATGTACAACAAAATCAGATTGCAGCAGTTATAGAAAAGGAAAGAAGTTCCAGATAAATTCCAGATTGTAACAGTTTAAGATTGCAGATTGCAGACTGCAGATTTTTTGAGTTCACTTTGCAGATTCTGAGGCAAATTAAAACCAAATTGTAGATTGCAGATTAAAGTTCCAGTTCCAGATTAATTCCAGATTGCAGCTTTCAGTTACACATCAAATAGTTAAAAAGTCGAAAAACACTCAGATGGACTGGATTGGCATCTTTCTCATGTTTTATCAGATGTAGTTACTGTATAATCGTGCTATACATGATAATCAAATAGCTCATCAGACAACTAAATTGTTTTTCACCTATGCTCAATATAATTAGGAAAAATTAAATAGATTCAGGAAAGACCATCAACTAGATTTGCGCATTTAAAAGTTAGAATGCATTCTATTTCTTTACGACTGCTATTAAGAATCCAGCAACATCACATGGCACAAGGCAGAAAAAAAATAAAGTGATGAATAACATACTAGGCTAGTAGGAATAAACATTTTTTCTATTTGAGAAGGTAAGTAATAAGGCAGAAGGAGTAGAAAAAAATAGTGTGACCATGTTCTGGAAATAATACTAGAAGAAAAATGTTGTAGTTTTTAACACACACAAACTGATACTTAGAATTGTCATGGCTCTCCACTCAATCACTTCACTATTTGCTAAAGTGCATTCAAAATAAACTTAATATGTCGAAAGCCAGGTGACCATGAACATACAGATAAAAACAACCAATTCAAAAGCTTAGAAAAGATAAATTTGTTTAAGGATATATTTGTTTAAGTACAGAAAGTACAATGAGATGTCTTGTCATCCTTCTCCAATTTTGGTATCGCTTATTGATTCTGGCAATAACAGCAGCCTCCTCTTTGAAAATATGCTGCAATCTCTTCTCAAAATCATCCTTTTTGGACCTAAATAAACTATTACATTTCATCGAAAAAACTCCCTTCTTTATCTTCTTTTTTGTCTTTTCTACATTATCAGTAGATGATGCCACATGTTCAGTGTCAGCAACATCAACATGTTCTTTTGTAGGCTCAACAACCATTTTCTACAAGTTCAAGAGCATATATATTCAAATGATTGAAGGAGAAAGGCAAACATAAAACACAGGAAGAACACTGGACTGAAATCTATAACATGAAAAAAGATCTTTTTGGACTAAAATTTTGTGTATGCATAGTAGTTCTAAGATTCATAGGTTGGATTTATTTCAGTTCTGCTAATTACGTTCATCTTATTACTTAAACATTCAATGGATATTTCAAGGGTTTGAAACATCAGCAGAAGTAAAAATGAGACTTTTGCGGACATGAACATAATAAAAACAAAAGGGACAATAGTGATTGGAGCAAATACCTTCCTAGTTTCCTTTTTGACAGCCGGGGAGAGCGCAACCAAGCTGAATATATCAATGACTCATAAGCAGTTAACATGTGGAGAATGAATGTCATTTTGTTCACAGTAACCACTTATCCGAGCAACAGTTGATTGGTTTTTCGGATAACCAAAAATGATGATACTTCCGTCAGTGTAGCCACCAGTTTTCCTTCCTGCTAAGACATCCATCAATTGGAGATGAGTCTCTTCCATTCCTTGGGATTTCATTTCACGATAGGCATACAACCGGATGATGAGTAATAAATTAAGCATAACAGTATCAATGCATACAACGCGAAGAATATTTCTTACTTCTGGCATATCGACATAATAATTGACATGTTTAAATGCAAGTGACAATGGCTGGAAAGGAAGCACCATTCCTCTTTTTTTGATGCTCTTTTGTCAATACTCGAGTTGTTCCTTACAGCCGTATCTATACCTACAACAATCGTTCAACATATGACCAAATTTATCATGATCAGTACAATAACCTTCGTTTAAATATACTTTTCAGCATCTAAACCAAGCTATAAATTGTAGAACCTTTAAATGTTGCGGTGGTAGATGCTAAACTCTTCTCTATTGATTCTTTGGGGTTATGTTTTTTTTGCTCATTTTTCTTACTTTTGTCATCATCCATACTAACAGATGTAGAATCAGCAAATGCTGCATTTTATTTACAAAAATGGATGAGAGAGAAAAAAAATAAGTTTCTAAAATTTTAAATAGAAGAGAGAATCTCTAGCTTACGATTCAAGTAAGTCAGCGTCAAATGAAAAGGTTAAGATATGGCACACCTGAGGCTTAACTTCAACAATGAATTGTCCACTCTTCACAGCAACAGGATCATTTGCAAGAACACTCTCAAGATGGTCTAACATCTCTTTTGCTTGGTAAGACCCAAAACCAAGATCTGCATCTCGATAAGGCGAAACAACAACACTCATTTAAGAGAACTATTTGGAGAGTAAAATTATTGAACATTACCTGGCCTAGATCTACAAACATGAAGTAAGATGGCCTTGCATGTTCTTGCAGAATCGAAGCTACACCGTCAAAGATTTCGCATTCCTAGTGCCCATATTTCTGGCTACAACTCTTTATCTTCAATATAAGGATTATCCTTTGGAATGGTGTAGTTTCCCCATTACCACATTTGAAAATACACAAGGATTCGAGATCCCATAGGGAAACATTCAAATAAGCTGCATGTGAAATGAAAATCTAAAAACACAAAGTATAAGGTATTAACAATCATATTATTTCTGCTAGGGCAGAAAATCTATTATAGGGTGCTTTGTTCTTTTCTCTTTTATCTAATACATTATATGAAACAGATACATTATAAACATGGAGTACATAGTGTGCGAAGATGTAGCAAAAAGATGTGTAACATTCGAAGGCTTGTAAGTTTTGACCATCAAATGCAGCACACTTAAGAGTTTCAGCCAAGAGGCCTGTTGAAATGAAATATTTTATGGAAAAAAAACAAAGATTGCATGAATCCACTGCACTAATAGTGTAACAAAAGGGGAGTTCAATTTCTAGTTTACAAGAACAAATTTCATGATATATGTCCAGTTCAAGAATTCAATGATTGAGAAAATCATGTCAATAGAACTAGTTAGTCACTTTTACCGAGAAAAGCTTAATAAGCACCACTGCAGCAGTCGTCTTAGCAGAGAAAAAAGAAGAAGTACAAACTAACAACAAGCATTCCAGGGAATCAACATGATCATACATCTAACCATGAAATAATTAGTATAACAAACATTCCAAGGAATCAACATGGTCATACATCCAACAGTGAAATAATTAGTCATGCCAAACGAATTTTGAACCTTCTGAAAAAATATCATGATTATGATAAAATTCGAACAAAGTAATCAACACAACAGTTCAGATATTGACAAATTGAAATAAAGTCATTGAAGAAATACTACTACAACATGCTTACATGTCAGAGCATCCAGAGGTAGAAGACACTGACCCTTTTTGATAGATAGAGCTTATCTTCCTGACATTTAAGCTGCCCATCACCCTGGAATACTACAAATCAAAGCAGAAAATCGACAAACACCAGATGCCATAACCTCAGTCCCTGAAAAACTCCATGAAAAAAATTCAAAGAATGCCGTAATATTCTTTCACTGAGATCTTCTTCTCAAGTGATGTGACACGGTATACTGCAGAAAACATATATAGATTTGGTATACTTTAGAAAACATATATCTTCTTCACGATATAATTCAGAAAACATAGTGTGGCCAAAGGCAAATATTGAAGACATATATAAATTTATCAATATATATTAAAATTTTGGAAGAAATTTAACTCGATTTTTCAATTCTCCAAAGAAATTCACACAGAGAACAATTCCTCTTTTACACACATACTATCACAGAAGGTTGTTAAGGAGAATTTTTTTAGAAATTGCCCAAATTTGTGAGAAACATCGAAACCCTACCTAAACCAGAACTAACGAAACCACATCTTCTTCCTCTGAAGCAAACTAGTGATGGGTGACCCATTTCTCGACGGACTCTTCGTTCCTGACCTCCTCTACGATAACCCACTCACCATATCTTCCTCAAAGGCTAAGAAGAAACCATGTTGTATCTCCATTTCCCAAAAACATCAAAAGTCCCAACACTTTTCCCACCAAACTAGGAGAAAAAAGGTTAGCATGGATGAAATTTTCAAGTCATAAATTGCATAAAAACATAAAAAGGAGAACTGAGAATAAGAGTTTGGCTAAGGTGATGGAGAAGAAATGTATGAGAATGAAATTTAGGGTTCTTGGCTTTTAGAAATTAGGGGGAAATAGAAAATATGGTGGAACTTTTTATTTTAGCCAAAATTAATACTATATCTGATAGTACTCTTATTTTTTTGAAATTGGGAAAAAATAAGGAGGGAATTCGTTATTTTAGCTAATATTTTATAAGAATTAATAGGGTACACTTATAAAGTGTTGTTTTTATAATTATAAATATGGCATAGTTTTAAAGTGTGCTATATATATAAACAAGCGTTGTCAATTGCTTTATGATTTGGCAACACTTATTATGTGTAGCCAATAATTCCAAAGAGCACACATTAGAAGTGTTGTCAATGTTTTTGTGGCCAAAAGCTCGATATAAAGGTAACGCATTAAAAGTGTGCCCTTAGTTACTTTTGGCAACACTTTTAAAGTGTTGTCTAGAATTAGTGTGGCCATAGGCCATTTTTGTTGTAGTGCTGCTAAAGCGACGTGCAAACTTCTATATCGATGTAAGTGTTACTATTGCGGGTTGAGCCCGCTATAGAAAGGTGAAATGAGATTTTATGTAAAAGGAGTCCCAAAATCCCTATTTTCTGTACTCTTATTCTTGGAGTTGGGAGGTGTAATTTTGGGCAGTTTGCACTTGCTTTTCCACGGAATTCATCGATAAAGGTAAGATTTTGAATCCTTTATCTTGTGCATTGATTCTTAAGCCTTAGAATCTAGTTATTTCCAGAAGGGAGAAGTTTTTACATGATTCCATAATGGAAAAAGTCCTAAGTTAGGGAAGATGATAATATTTTGGCTGAGGGATAGATTAATAAGACATTAGCGATTGATTGTTGCTTTTATTATTTGCTTTAGACCAAGAACAAGTCAAGACGCTTCAAAAGGGGAAATCTTTGATTCTTTAGAGTTTTCCAGAGACTTCATTCGGGGAATGTGATGGTTTTATGTTTCCGTTTTATTTATGTATGCATGTCTATTACTTTGTTGTATCATTGATGCAATGTGTGGAAGAAAATACATAAGGAGGCACATAAAATGACTTCATATTGATAATCTCATGCAATGGACTTGTTATTGTGACTTGTGGTTTTAAAATAGTATCATTCATTGTGCTTGCTATTGTGCATGATCGGTTGGTTGCTCAGGTACCACGCTGGTACACTAATTTTGGATGGCTCGAATACCACGCTGGTACACTAACTATTGATGACTCAAATACCCGCTGGTACACTAAGTATGGATGGCTTCGATATCACGCTGTTATACCAACAGTTTGGATTTTGGTCCTATGACCAAGTGTGTGTTTACGGTTTCACGAGAGTACCTAGTATTTGCATTTAGAAAATTCTATTTCTTTCATCCTTCACACAATAATTTGATTCTAATTATTATCTGGCAATTCAAATTGGCATCTAACTCTTCCACTCTTCTGTCCGATGATGGTTTACGTTCGATGTAATGGCTCAAGGATAGAGGCTCTAGTGGTAGAGCAAACAACTGAGCTTGTACTGAGAGGACGTTACAGAGGAAGAGGAAGAGGTACGGGTAAGGGTAGGGGAAAGAGCAAAGGACATGCAACATCCGCAAGAGGAGGAGCTTAGGCTGAGAATGTAGTATCAGTACTAACCGCATACTTTTTTCTATATTATTTGATAATATAGGTTCAGGCGTTCAACATTCAGGTCGTAGTTATCTGCTCGGTAGAACTTTTGGTGAGTCCTCATCATTCGACGACGACCTCTATCTATATTTCAATATTACATTTTCAGTTTTTAGACAATTATAGTTAGCTAGGGGCATGTCCTAGAAACTTAATTTATTAGAGGTTATCAAATAGTCAGTTTAGCTTCGGCTTATTCAGATGATTGTCTGCTTGAAGGTGTGTGATCTATAATAGACTAATTCAGTTTAGCATCAACATTCATTTATTTTCAGTTGTTGCTATTGTGTTTCTTAGTGTCATACCAAACCATGGTTTAGCTTGGGGTCACTTGTGCCTCTAAATACCGAGTTACGGCTAGGGGTTAGTCTTAGGTCGGAATACTAATTTATTAAATTAGTTTATATGAAATTTAAGCCCGACAAAAAAGTGGAATCTAGAAAAGTATTCTCTAAGGCTGATGTAATTGTTTTGGGTGCATTACATACCTGTATTGGGTGCTTATGTTCTCCAGAATTAAAAAAAAAAATACTCTAGTTTGTTACATACTTGTATCGAGTTGAAAATTCAAGCACCATCCCTTTTGGAATATTGAATATACTAATAAAGACAATAAATATTAGATAAACTAATATTATAGAAATTCAGAATCTCACAGAGTTAATGTTGATGTAAATTGTAAATGCACTAAACTTGACAAAGATGGAAATATAAAATAAAATAAATGAGTGTACAAGACTTTTCTTTGATCCATCACTTTTACACTGTTTACTACTTTAATAAAATATTTCAATTGATTTATCATCCTAGACAACACAAAACATCATTAAAGACTAAAGATAAACTAACAAAAATATTTGACTTAATAACATAAGAACTCCATGACCTTCTCTTTTGTGGCTTAAAACGTCATATAAATAGATATTTGATGGCTAAAAACAAGTGAGTTAATAATAAAGACAATCATATTAGCATACTCGATCACTGATAAAGACTTCTACAAGTACAGCTCTAGCATCAAGAACTTCAGTTAACAACTCCATGTGAATTATGGGTTCAAGAACTTTCATCTTCTTTTGGCTCAAGGACAACATTTAAATCAAACTTGAAATGCTCACCCAAAATAGCACTTTTTGTTTCATTAAAATTTTCTTTACCCGCAACAACATTGCCACTCTCTGCTCCTCCATGTGTTTATCTGGAGGTATTTCTGAGGCAGAGTGTGTAATCTTATACATTAACATTCTTCTTCTTTCTTTCTCGTTAAGTGTTTGCAATTCCTTGCGAAGATCTTCAAGTTCCTCAAATCTAATTGATTTTCCCTTAGCAAGATCATGTTGGCGATCCTCTAGTTTCCCTTTTAAAAACTTATCAATTATATCTTCAATATTGTGGAACAAAGCATAACTCCAACTTCATCTCCACTCCTATTTGCAAGCTTTTTTGCATCTTGGAACAAGGTTTTTTTCCTTTTGGAAAAGCTTATAGCGCGTGCTCTCTCAGACTCAATTAACTTCAACTCAATCTTTTGCTTACCTTTCTTGATCTCATTTTCCACTGCAAAAGAAAATAAGATGTTTTTATTGAATGATGTTGAGCAATTCTAAGAGGAACAATTCTATAATTTATAGTATGTGTGTGAGTGCTTTTTCCACGAGTATTGTAACATTTATTTAATGTTTTCATACCACAAGTCTCATTGTTATCACATGTATTATCAATTTTTAATCTTATGACTCTATTTCACGTGTATTCTCACGTTTAGTTGGTGTTTTGTATTATATGAATCTATTACGTGATAATCATGGTTTCTAACAAATGTTTTCTTCTTAAGTGATAATGTTGAATTGAATCTAAAGAAAAATATAAAATTATTTGTTATTTTTATTTAATATTTTCATTTCACGGGTCTATTTTGTTATATGTATTTTTATATTTGTTTATTTTTTTTCATATTTTGAGTCTATTTTTCAAGTGTTTTATCACATTTATTTAGTGTTTTCATATAATGTCATCTATTACGTGATTACCATGATTCCTAATGCACGTTACTTGCATATTTTTTCTATTACAATGTAATAATGTTGAATTGAATCTAAATATAAATGAAAAATAACAATGATTTAATTTATTTACATGTATAATGTTCATTCGACACGGGAGTCTTGAATTAGTGATAAAGTTTTCTATGTGACCTATAGGTCACGGATTCGGGACTTCGAAGCAGACACTAATACTTACATTAGGATAGGCTGCCTACCTTCCACCCCTTGTGTCACGACCCAGGGTTACCCTCTACAAGTAAAACGATGTAATTGACCCCCAAGGGGTCACATACAATCCCTAAGCATAATCATACACATAAAGTCATAAGAATAATTTGGAAAAATTTAAAACTTTTACAATCAAAGTCAAACTTCATTTTCATAATAAAAAATCATAAGAGTCTAGACTTTGTCTCATACACCATTTAAAACATAGGAATACAAAGTTTGGGACTTAGCCCTTTACATCAATATAAGAGAAGTACTATAGGAACTAATAAATGGAAATCCGTCCTCGAACTTGAGGACTCACCACTACTTGGAGATAAGCAATCCAAGTCTTCTTCAAGAAAGGATAGTGTATGACACCTAGCCAAAACTTACACTTATAAAAAATGTAGTGGAAGAAGGGGTTAGCACAAAAATGTACCAAGTATGGAAACATGCATAAAATCCTTGAAATATGATAAAAAAGACATTTTAGTTGAAAAGAATGCATTTATCAAGTTTGGAGACCAACATGCATTTTCAATGTCAAAGACAAGCCATAATCACATTTATATTCATAACATAGTAAAACCACCACTATAGCAACCCCTAAAGAACACTTGTGCAATGTATGGTTAGCATCCCATAATACCAACCATAACAAGTACTCCCTAGAAGCTACCTTAGTCATACATATCATCTTCAGACCTCATCATAATCAATAATCATCAACAAGGAAGTGTAACGACCCTAAATATGAATTAGTGAAACTAGAGCCTAACGTGTGTGTGCTTGAGTTTGGTGTGAGGTTTGATGGTGTTTGATGTTGTCCCGAGCTATGGTTGAGGGGTTTAGGGGTTAAACATCAAGGTACGACTCCCCAAGGACCACCCTAAGGGTCCTTGAGGAGGACCCTAAGTTTAATCCACAAGACCCCTTGAAACCACAAGGCTACCCCAAACTTCGTAGACCACGGAAGGGGACCATGCCTCGTAGGTCCATCCACGCCCCGTGCATAGCCTCCGTGGGTCATGGACCCCAAATGCAAGCCAAACCTCCAAATGACGGAGGTAAAGTACGGTCTATACCCCATCCACGGTCCGTGGATGGGGTCTAGTGAACCATGCCTGCAATCTGTCAAGTGACACGACCAAGTGAAGGG